ACTTTGGGGCTTCTTACAAGTTATTTCCTTTTCTTACCGAGGATTTTCCCAACTGTAAACATGGTTAATAATACTACCTCCCCCAAAGGGCTGTGAGGATGAAGGGTGATGAATGTAAGGGGTTGGCAATGCCTGGCACATAGTGAGCGCTCAGTTATACTAGCTATATTTCCCACAATATATATTGTCAATATATGTTTACATGAAGGTACACACAGATGGGAAAGTTGGAGTACTCCCACCTCTTTACTTATCCCCTTTATTTGAAAGAACTGAGGTGTTTGGGGATTGCCATTAAAAACCTATTCCAGGAGCAAGAGTGTAGAGTATCCCCCACTGGGGATGAGGTATAGGGTAGACCAGGGTGGAAGGGGAACAGAGTGAGTGGAAGGGCCAGCCACAGTCTGAGGAAACGGAGGTGCTATGGCAGGGAGTGAGATAAATTCCTGGGGCCTTGGTATGGGGATGTAGTGACTCTTGTTTTCCCCCAGAGTGGATAAGCCACTAGTTACTTTACCTGCGCTGCCCTCCCCATGCCCTTCCCCAGAGAGTTTGTGCTCACAGCCCTGCTCATTGTGCAGGGCCATGGCCCCCAAATCTAGGGCGGACACCAGATGTGTGCACCCTTGTGTGCTTAATGTTCATGAGAAAGGAGGGTGCCCGAGGAGGAAATCATACCAGGAGCCAGCTTTGTAATTGTCTTGAGAATTTTAATGGAAAGCCAATTTCTCACTTTTGCCAGTCAGCCTATCCCAATGAGGGGCCGAGATGGGAGCTTTGGCCACGGGACATGACCTTGGAAGCTCAGTTTTTCTCCCTCCTTTGCCTCCAGAGGCACACTGACCCGAGGCATGCCGACTTCCTTCCTGACTGCAGAGCCATGCCTGAGCTGAGGGGCCTGCCCCTCAAAGCCTAGAGATTTCCTATGCACAAGGCAGAGAGCCTCAGGAGCTCTTGGGGGCTCTGGTGGGGGGGTGTGCTTTTACAACTGCTGCTGTGTGGTGGAATTGGGGCCCTCCAAGGAGGGGTGGGAGTAAGGATTGGGGAGAAGCCTCCTAAGCTGGTTAGGCTGAGAGCAAGAAGCAATAAGAAAGTGCGCGAGTTGGGGTTCAAGGCGCTCTCCATCCTAGCTCATCTCCAGAGAGTTGATATACTCCTTCACCCATTTCTTCTCTGGGTTGGCGCACACCTGGCGGTCCTTTCGGGTGATTAAGCTGTGAGAGAGGAGAAGACAGACCTGGTCAGCGCTGGGACAGCCAGTTTTAGGAATGAGACGGATTGAGGCATAAGGGGAGATGATGATGGTACTGGGTGGGGCATTTTTGGAGCTCCATAAGATTATATCTATGGCTTTTAAGGAAAGGACATTCCCTCTTCTGTTGATTCAAAGGGCCCCAAGCCAGAAGCAGATTTGTGTGCACTGTAACTCTCTCTCTCTCTCTCTCTCTCTCTCTCTCTCACACACACACGCACGCACGCACGCACGCACGCACGCACGCTGCCTGGAGAGCTAAGGTGACAGGGGACCCGAGGAGCCCACGGTTGAACTGGTCAACCCCTAGCCTTTCCTCAGCACTTCCTCTGTTTCAGACCCTGTGCTGGGTGCTTGAGGTGCAGAGAAAAAGAGGTGTCCCTCCAGGAACTGGGTCATGGCTGAATAAGTGGGAGACTGGAAGTGGAAAAACAAACCTGTGAGGGGTCTGGGCATTAGTAATTTTTCAAAGCTCCTCAGATGATTAAAATGTTTACCCAAGGTTATTAGCTCTGATGTAGAGGAAGGGGCTATACATGTCGGGCTGGATTGTTTATTATATGAGATCCGCTTACTTTTTCCTGTGTCCCTTGAAAGGGCCCTGAACATGAGTGAACCTAAAGGGTATATGCTAAGTGTACTAAATCAGACAGAGAAGGACAAATGCTTTGTGATTTCACTTATATGTGGAATCTAAAAAACAAAATAAATGAACTATGAAAACAGAAACACACTTATACGTACAGAGGACAGACTGATGGTTCGCCAGATGGGAGAGAGGTTGGGGGCTGGGGGAAAAAGGTGAAGGGGTTAAGAAGTACAAATTGGAAATTACAAAACAGTCATGGGGGTGTAAAGTACAGCATAGGGAATGTAGTCAGTAATATTGTGATAACTATGTATAGTGCCAGGTGGGTACTAGACTTACTGGGGGGATCAATTCATGTTATGTAAATGCCTAACCACTATGATGTACACCTGAAACTATTGTAATACTGAATGTCAACTGTAATTGAAAAATTAAAATTAAAAAAGTACCCCCCTCCTCCAAAAGAAAACACCTGTGATTTGGCTTTAGATAACACAGTGTCTAACACAGGGTAGACACTCAACGAGTGGATACATCTATGCCCGTGTGGGTGAATGAACAAAGGGCATAAATTGGAGTCTTGATTTCACCACTTATGAGTTGGATTACCTTCGGCAAGTCTGTTCACTTATCTCTAAAGTGTGGATAGAAATAATTCCTACTTTGTACAATTATTGTGAAGGTCAAATGAGATAGTATGTGTTGAGTAGTTTTGAAGATACCATACATGTGTTGTTACTGGAATGCTGTGGGATCTCTGCTTTAGGGTGGGTCAGAGCAACATGAGACCAAAGGGCCTGGTACAGGGCACTGTGGTGCAGAGAGGTTGAGGGCCCCGAGATACTGGCAGTGTCAAAGCACTTCTACCAATTAACTGGCCAGAATGTGGAGGGAGGTCTAGGAGAGCCAGAGGCCTGATCTCCGCAGATGTTGATTGCATAAGTTGGAGGAATTTAAAGCCTGGGGATCATGGGCTCAATTTAGTTGCTTGCCTGACCCATTCTTGGGGTACTGGTTCTGTTTGGGAGAGACCTTGGGCCTAGATAGCAGTGCTTCCAATAGACATGTTACTTTAGGGCCAGCCCTGCCTACTTGTTTTGGCCTGCAAAGAGAAAGGGAGCAGAAGAGGTCTTCTGGGCTCTAGTGCCTCCTAGTGTTTGTTTCCTTATTTGGGGTGGTGAGAGAGCTTCAGCCCCTGCCCTTGGTAAGCCAGGTGTCATACAGGAAATCCTGCTGAGTCATTATCTGCTCTCCTTGGCCCCCTTGTCTGTGGCCAGGAAATCAAAAGGCCAGGAAACAAACATCAGGGGTCAGGCTTGCTCAGGCCTCCATTTCGTCCTGCTCCCTGTAGAATAGGACACTGGAACACAGCCCCTCCTCACCAAGCCTTCTCTCCATGCCCCCTGCATCGGGGACCCTCTACTTCCCTGACTTCCCTCCTACCTCTTTTCCTGCTCCGTCTGGTGAGAGCCTCCACTTTTACCTGTCCCTTGAGAACTGCCCAAAGTTGCTGCCCTTTTCTGTGTGCTTTCCTGAGTGTCTGGCCCCAGGGCTAGCACACAGTGGGTGCTTAATGGATGTTTATTGAATGAGTTATTGAATGAATTACTTTCAGTCATCAGGTTTCACTTATCCCTTCTATGTGTAGAATAATGCATTTAGATTAGGAGAGGGAAATATTTAATTTTATCTTTCATTTTATTATTCTTACTTTGACCCAGTGGGAGAATTAATTCTATTTTACTCCTCTTTACAGATGAAGAAACTGAGGCTCAGAGAAGTTAAGTGATAGGCCCAAGCTCATGTAGCTACCAACGGGCAGGGCTGGGATTCTAACAAAGGCAGACTAGCTCTGGAGCCAGCTAAGACTATGCTCATTGGCACTCTTATATTGGGAGACCCTTCCTCCTATCAAAGAATGTCATATCTCTAGTCCCAACACCCTTTCCTTAGCTATCAACCTCAGTCCCACACACTCTTCTGGACATTCCCACAGGGTCATCGTGCTGGTAACTTGGCTCTTTCCTCTTTAAACAGCACTTCTTCAGGGGGCTCCATACTTCTCCAGCCATCTGGGTTGAAGCCTCAACATCACCTTCAACCCTTCTCTCTTCCTTGCTCCTGACTTTACATCACCTACCAGGGCTCGCCCACTCCACCTCTGAAGGTTTCTCACCTGGGCTTTCCTTCCCCCTTCCTTCCCCCTTTCCTTCCCTTTCCCTTCCCCCTTCTCCTTTCCCTCCCTCTTTCCTTCCCTCTTCCCTTTCCCCTTTCCTTCCCCCTTCCTTTCCCCTATCCTGTCCTGTCCAGCTTTCAGTACCATTCACATGGGTAATGACAAGAGCCTCTTAACTGGATCCCGGTTTTCTATGATTTCCCTATTCCAGTTCATTCCACACTTGACAGCACTAACGCTCTTGCTTCATTGTGCCGACACTCAGAGCCCTCAGTGCTTTCCTACATGGAGACTCCATACGCCAAAGGAGAGCCCTGGTGACATCCCCTTGCCTGATATACCCAGTCCCTCAGGCTTTTCTATTCCCAACTCAGACGGCACCTTTTGCAGCAAACTTCCCTAACTACCTTCTCCTAACCCCTGAAGCCTTTGTAATGTTCCTGTGCAGGCGCCCTTGTCATTGCTGCGTCTGTCCCTCCTCTTATTAGACTGTGAGACCCATATGGCAGGGATGGTGGGTTACTCATCTCTGCCTGTCTGTGACAGGTGCTCAAAGAAGAACTTTTTTCTTTAGAAAAATACTTGTTTTCAGAAGTAAAATTAGTAGTGCTAAATACTACCACTATACTTTGAAAGATTCTTTAGAACCAATGGCCAACTCTGAATACCTGCAAGTTTGCCAGAGTCACAGGAATTTTTGGATTAAAAATGTCACCATTAAATAGGAAACTTCACAACTGCCCCATTTTCATTCTTTATGTCTCTCTTGTCTTAAATTTCTTAAGCAACTACCACTAATGGCCTTGCTCCAGTAGAAAGAGGAAGGTTCAGAGACAGGCTCTACCCCTCATTGTTGTACAAGCGTGGTCAAGTCACCAAACCTCTCTGAGTCTTGGTTTCGTCATGGGAAATGGAGAGAATTATGCATACATCTCAGGCTATTATGATGAAATTTAGCGATAATAAGTGTAAGTCATTTGACATACAGTGGGCACTTCCTAAGTAGTAGGGATTAGTATATTTTTTCAAATGTATAAGCTTGCATATTTAAAGGAGAATCTCATTATTTCTTCACCAATCAGTAAAGTATTTTTTTTACACAGTGACTACAACTAAGACCCTGACTTCTGACCTCTCCTCCCTAGTTCCTCTGAGGTGTTATTTTAATTTTTTTATAAAATATTTTTTATTGATTTCAGAGAGAGGAAGGGAGAGGAAGAGATAGAAACATCGATGAGAGAGAGTCATTGATCGGCTGCCTCCTGCGGGCCTCCTACTGGGGATCTAGCCTGCAACCTGGGCATGTGCCCTGACCAGGAATCGAACCGTGATCTCCTGGATCCTAGGTCAATGCTCAACCTCTGAGTCACACTGGCCGGGCTCCTCTGAGGTTTTGGGTGGATTTGATAGGCTGTGGGATACAGGAGCCTGTGGGATTCTTAATAGGAAAGTGATGACTGAGTTGATCTTCATGCAAGGGCATTGCAAATGACATTCAAATAAGTCACATCTGCAGAGATCGGAGACCTAACCTAGTCCATCAGAGTGGGGAGGACCCTCCAAGGACACCTTGTCTAATCCTTTTCATGATAGCTGGGGAATCTGAAGTTAGAGAGGGAGGAGCCATGGCTATTTGAGCAGCTAGAGGATGGGCAGAGTGGATTGGGCACCCTCTCAGAGGGCTCCTGGGGGGACAGGCTCTGCAACCAAAGACGTCCCTTCCTCACCCCCCTGGAGGGTTCCATGGGACTGAGACTCACACGACTGCTGGCATGGAACACTTGCTGCTGGTGTAGAAATACTCGCGGAGGTGGGCACGAGGCAGTGGGCGGGTGATGTAGCCAAAGCAGCAGGGTGTGGTGTCCGAGGCATCTGGGAGAAGGAAAAAAGCCTGAACTCATTGCCAGTGCACACTGGGTATTGTGCTTGGTACTTTATAAGATTTATCTTAAATAGACTTATTCTCCTTTGGCTGAAACTGAGGCTCAGACAGAGTTGGAGTCCCAAGAGAGGACTGAGAGGATCTCCCAAACCCCTCATCTAATCCTCGTGCCTAGCTTGTATCCTCTTTACACCACCACCTCACACCTCTGGCTCTTGGGACGTGCTGGGCCTCCTCCTGACTTGTGCTGGGCCCTCTGCCCTTATTCTTGCCCTTCTAGGATCCTCAATGGATTCAGAACTTGGTTTCTTTGAGACTTCGGGTGTGCTGGGGGGAGGCTTCCAAAACTCAGACTGAAGATGCATACTGGATCCTAGGAGTCTTGGCTGAGGCAGAGTAAGAAGGGCTCTAACAGAGAGGGATGACTTTTTGTTGGTTGATTAATTCAGGATAACCCTGGGAAATGTCAGTTGCCATTTCCCAGCAGAGTAGAAGTGTTTAAGAGCCAAAGAGGACAGAATTTGAACACCAGATTCCCCACTCCTAGCTGTGTGACCTTGGCAAGTTACCTAACCTCTCTGGGCCTCTTTACCCCATCTGTAAGTTAAGGACAGCTACTGAAAGAATAGTTGTATTAAATAAGATGATATATATAAAGCAATCAGCATAATACTTGACCCATAGCAGGTATTTCATTAGCTTTCATTATCCTTTCCCATGACTCATTTTTTCCACCTATGAAATGGGGGGAAATGTGACTGTCCCAGGAGGGTTTTAGTTAAGTGCTTATAGGTTTCTAAGAAACCCTGCTGGTGTTAGGCATGAGTGAGTCATGTTTTGAGGTCAGCTAGAGCTGCCCCTGCCTACTAATATCAGCAGCATCAGTTCACACTCAGTGATACCTGCAAGCTTGGGGTGTAGACCCTGAAAACGCAGAAAAGTGAATCCGAGGATCCCTGCCATGAAGTGGCTTAGAGATCTATCAGGGACCAGTGGGCATCAGGGAAAAGCAATAAATAAGAATGAAAGCCACAGGGTCCAGACAGTATAAATGCTATAGTTGAAAAGAGGGCAAGGCCTGGGTTAGCCTGAGGGTCTGACTCAGGTGGTCAGGACTGGGACTTACATGGGGAGGCGGATGCAGGAGCGCAGAAGGCGGCAGCGGCGAGGAGGGTGGCGAGGGCAGCTGCGGAGACCTTCATGGCACCTCTGGCAGAGACAGTGGGAGAGACTGTGCTGTCTTAGGATCCTCTGCAGGGATTCTCTGAAGCTCAGGCTGGCCCTTTATAGGGAGGCCAGTAGAGGGGGCTCCCCTAAGGGGAGTTTCCAAAATAGTAGCCACTCATTGGCTGACATCATAAGTGAAATTGCATTAAATGGAAAAGAAAACTGAAATGGCCTCTGGAAACGTGAGGCTCTCTCTTTCCCTTTCCTTCCTTCCTTTCTCTCTTTTTCGCTTTTCCCTCTCCCTCCCCCACTCTCCCTCTCCTCCTCACCAACCTCAGATCCACGAAGTGAGCTCATCGGGTCGCCGTTTGCCCTCACGAAGAGCTATCACAGCCCTGGTGGCAGAGAACCGCTTCCTCTGCCGGCTTCCTCTGCCGGCATCCTCAGCTTCACCTTCCAGGGCTGGGTTCCTCCCGGGCCAGGAAGCTGCTTCCCTAAGGGCAGGAGGAGGGACAGCTAGGACACGATCAGAAACAGCTGGGTGTTTATTTGGTTGTTTTCAAAGTTCTTTGTGATGCATTGCAGGTCTGTATATTCTCTCTCATCTGTGAAAGGAAATTATTTATTATATGAGGTGTTTTATTGAGAAGGGGAGGGGTCCTCTGAGATATAGTGCCCAAGGGTGGTGATTGGGGCAGTGGATCTGACCTGGGCATTGGCAACCTTTTCACTGGATATGAGTTGGAGTGGGTAATGGTTGCAGGATTACCCCCATTTATTTGTTGTGTGATCCTTGGGAAAATTGTTTAATGTCTTTGAGCTTACAGGCTTGTTGAGAGAGAGAGACAGGCAGACAGGCAGACAGACAGACAGACACTGCCGTTATTAACCATTTATTGAAGGCTTACTCTGGGCCAGCTACTATTCTAAGGGCTTTGCATGTGTCAACTAATTTACTATTATTATGCCCATTTTCCCATTTTACAGATGAGGATCAGTAAGTGGTGGGATCCCGTCTCATTTCTAAGACACAAAAGGCTATAAACTATGAAAGCTGCAAAGGGATATAGGGATCATTTTATCCATGCTCTTCAGTTTGTAGAGGAGGAAACTGAGGCCCAGAGAGTGGAAGTGACTTGCTAAAGAACACACAGCAAATGAATGACAGGATCAGATTCCAGGTGCACTAACTCCCATTTCAGTGCTCTATCTGCCAAGCACTGCTCACCATTAAAAGGTTCATGGTTGGGGACATTCATGACTGAGCCCAGGTGGTGGTCTTGATAGAGCCTGGGTTCTTACTCATTCCAAAGAACTGGATACAGTAAATTATCGTTTCCTATTTGGAGAATTCAGAATCAGTGACAGTTTGGCCTGGGCTGGGTTGAAATTGATTTCTGAATGATCTAAGTGGAAAGTGTCTATTGACAGTGACAAAAGCAAACAAATTTAAAAAGTGTAACTGAAGAAAAAGTATAATGTTTATAGCTCCTGTCATATAGATAGTGGTGGCTGAGGGTGACTGAATCACCCAGAAAGGGAAGGCCTTGTTTTCTTTCTTCATCAGAATGACTTTGGGGCAGGGTGGTTACTAATCTCATTTTGCAGAAGTGGAAACTGAGCCTCAGATGTGGTCAATAGGTCCTTCAGGTCACTTAGCTGCTAAGGTGTTTCCGGTGACCAGGCATAATAAACTCTTTCTACTGACTCACCAATCAGGCATTTAACTGTGATTGTGTCCTCTTTAGTTGTCCCTTTCCCGTAGTCCCCTTAGTTCCCAAACATGTGAGAGGCTGTGTGGCCAACTAGTTAAGAGCAGGTGCTTTGGTGTTTCTCCCATTTACTAGCCAGGTGGCCTCTGGCAAGTAACTTCACCTCTCTGGCCTCAGTTTCTTCATCTGTAAATCAGGGAGAATAATAATGACCCTCCACAGCTGCTGAGACAGCTCAGGCCCAATAAACGTGCTCATGCTTGTAAACTCTTAGTGTAATGCCTCATGCATGTTAAGCACTTAATAATATTAGCTATTATTGTCATGTTATTATCTAGAGTAAGAAAATGGCAGTCCCTTTAAGGATAGTCTATACTTTAGGCTTCTCAGCAATCTAGACAAGACCCCAATTAATAGAGATGAGTGACCTCTAATTTATTTTTAAGTGACCTTTATTTATTTTTAAGCCAGTGGGTCAGTTGAAGCTTAGAGAGGTTAAGTGACTTGCTTAAGGTCCCATAGCCTAAAGTGGTAGATAGAACTCAACACTGAACCCGTCTGGGTTCATGGACTTCCTACCACACTGCATTGTTTGTAGAGAAATCCTGAAAATTTTGCTAAGGTTCAGTTTTTCCATGTGAGCTGCATTCCTGTTTCCTTTCCTTGATCTTAGTTTCTCTCTTTAAGGAAGAAAGGAAAGTTTTTTTCAGGGATACCAAATATGCTGAGTTGGGACACTAGTTGAGGAGAGAGGTGAGGGAACCTACCCACAGGTAGATCAACATGATCCTTGTCTTTAAATCCCAGTGAAGCTTTCTGCTGCATGTGTGTGTGTGTAAGTGATAGTGGGAATGGGGTGGGGTTGCTAAGAAGGAAAGGGCAATGGGTACATACACCAGGAGTATTCTTTTTGGTGGTTCCAGTGGGTTGGGGTGGGGGACAGAGAAAGGAGAAGAGCCTAATCGTAATTCCATTTCTGCTACTCACTTTCTCCTGTGCCAAGTTCTCTGGCTCTAATGTACTGATTCCATGAGGAAATCAAGGCGCCTGTGTAAATTAACCAGTGTGGTACGTGTGTGGTACAGGGTCGGTGTTTGATGAATGGCAACTGTCATAATTCACCCAGAATTTTATGTTCCTGAAAACCAGGAACTGTCTGCTGCACCACACTGGTGGTTGAGAGGTTCAAGGAAAGTAATAACTGTGGACATGCTTAGGGGACTGTAAGATGAGGCAAGATATGATGAAGCTCCCTCTGCCCTTCCTCTCCAGCCAGTGTGCTTGGTCTACACTGCTCATTCATTTCTCATTCACTCCACTAAGTTTCTTCATCTGTAAAGTGAGGGATTGCTCCCAACCTGTTTTGGGTAATGGGGCCCTTTAAGATTCTGATGGAAGCTGTGAACACTTTGCACAAACGTGTGGAGACCTACACAGACACACATGCGTAATTTTGCATATGAGGTTCATAGACCCTGCAGGCTCATTGATGGGCTCCTCGAGTTCAGAGGGCTGGTTCTCATCCACCTTCTTACCTCCTGCACCCCCTTTCCTAGAATATTCCTCCCTAAAGCCTGACACACACTCCGTGGGGCCCGGTGCAGCCCCTCCCCTGCTCTCTCAACCCAGTCTTCCTTTTCCCTTCCTAAACTAATCTGGCTGCCCGCCCAGCCTCCCGCTGTGATGTTAGGAAACCAAAGCAGGTTTGGAAAGTGAAACCTCATTCCAGCTGTATTCTAAACATCAGACTTGGAGTTCCCCCTGTGACCGTGTGGGGAGCAGCTTTAGCTTTTTGGCTGCTTTAAAAAAGAAATGCCCAAAGCAGGGAAAGTCCCTCCATCCTCTAGGAATCCCAGGCTGGGCCCTAAGAGAAAAAAGTGAGGCAAGGTCATCTCCTCCACGTGAGCCTTACCCCCTGGGTCCTTTCTTCTCTACCCTTGCTCACCAGTGTAAACACTTCTCACTTGAGCCAGTGATCTGCCGTCTCGCCTTTGTTTCTATGGGCCTGCTCGGTACGTGCTCCTGGCTGGCGCTGGAGGGTCTGCAGGAGGTGGCAGTGTGGAGGTGCAAGCTGAGGCCTCCCAGCAGGCTCTGGGGACTTGCCCAGGCGGAGGCAGGATTCAGATCCCTACCAGGATTCTGCCACATCCTGCCCTGCCCTTTGGTCCCGCTCTAGCCTGTTCTTTCTGTGTTATGCTTTTTTGTACCTCTCTTCCCCTCCCCATCACGTTTCACTGGGTCGGAGGTACTAACTCTGGCAGCTGCTCTTGTCCTTCCAACCACATTCAGGCTGGAGGGCTGCAGTTTCAGCGCCCCCAGTCTTCTCACCTTCACCGCAGGGGACAGTGGCTGTGCACATCTGCTTGTTTACTGTAGCTGGAGACCACATGTGGCGTGTTTGTTGATGTGCTCATCGGGTTACTGGAGGGACCCACCACAAGGTGCCTTGGGGGGCAGGGCAGACCTGGGAGTGAGGCCCATGGGGAAGCGTTGGTTCTTCCAAAGTTGCTGGGTGACAGATTTTAGGTCCTACTCCTCACTCCTGACACTTTGGAGTCGGATCTTTGTTTTTGTTTTCCTCTGCATGCTTGTCAGAAGGTCCCCCTTTCTCTGTGCATGCTCCCAAAGCACAACAATCCCCTCCCTCCCCCTGCCCCCAGCCCCTGGGAGAAAGCCTGTGAAGAGCAACAAACTTGGAGTTGAAATCAGACAGGTCGCTGACTCTCTGTATGTCTTTATTAACTATTAACAAGTTACTAACAGTCTGCCCCTTGGTTTTCTTTCTGGAAATGGATCCAAGACTATGCTCCTAGGACACCTCAGAGGATTAAATGAGGCCATTAGTAAACTACCCAGCACCCTTTTTGGTTGGCACAAGGAAATGCTGGGAAACCAATTCCTTCCCTTTCTCTCCCCAAATGTTCAGGCTCCAGCGTTTCTTTCCTCCATGTCTCCCCACTCCCAGTGGAGGTGTCATCTCAGTGTTAGGAGACATGAGGGCAGGCGAGGGGGAAGCTGACAATGACTTTCCATTAGCTGTTAGGCACTGAGTTAGACACTCTGGTTACTTCTCTTATTAGGAAGAGAACACATAGGAAACGGTGATGACTCAGGCCTGTCCTGAGCTCTTCTGCCCTCTGGGAAGCAAACTTCAGAGACTTGGCCCCATGCCGTTTTCTTCACCGTATTTCTGTCTCTGAGTGAGTGGAGTGAGGCTTGGTACCCTCTTTCTCCCTTCTGACTGTCCCTGCAGGCCAACACACAGACCCTTTTTCAAAGAGTTTCACAGACAGCCCTGGCCAGGTAGTTCAGTTGGTTAGAGCATTACCCCAGTACACCAAGGTTGGGGGTTTGATCCCTTGTCAGGGCACATACAAGAATCAACCAGTGAGTCCATGAATAACAGGAGTAACCAATCGATGCTTCTCTCTCTCCCTCTCTCTCTCTCTCTCCCCCCCCCCCCCCCCCCC